AAGCTGTTCTCTACACACACAGAATATTATGAGGCTCAAAACTACTATGACAATGAAAGCAGTTACAGACACTGCAATCCAGATGTGCAGCTTCCAGGGTAAATATCATACTTGTTTATAACCAGACTTTGGGAGTAGCAGCAAAGCTGAATGAAACACATTTGGACCTTACAAAAAAAAAAAAAAAAAAAGCCCCAAAGCTTTCCTTTCAGGCTCTATATTTTGAAGGCCAGACCTTTTGTCTCAGTTGTTCTCAGCAGCATTGTTCTAATGGGCACAATAGACATAAAGAACCCTATGTTCTTATTTCTATTACTGAACTGCCAAGTGACTATGAGGAAGTCACACAGAGCAGCATTCAAGAGTGCCTACCCATACTGAGTTTTTGTATGCTCAGCTTAAATTGTGAAGGGAGTTGATGTGCAGATGCTTGAGGAAGCAACTTTAGGAGGCATCCAGGACCTGTTAAAATTTTATCTTAAAACTACTCAACTTCTCATCTGAAGTACCTTGCTTTGGAAGTCACTTGTGAGTATTTCCTCTATCACTGCTCTGGAAGTCAGCACTGCTAAAATACTTCACTGGTGCAACAAAGAGTCCTCAAAAGATCAATTTACTTTTTTTGAGAATTTGCCTCTCTTGAGATGCCAGAAAAGCACTCTAAAGCTCAGAATAGCTTTAATCAGCACTCCTCATGCATTCAGACACTACTGCACTTGTGAATAAAAGATCCCACATGCTAATACCCCAAGCAGTTCAGGGGGTTCAAACATGTATGAAGGAAGCAGGCCAATTGTGGGGTCAGCTTTATATTTTTGCATTGAGCCAGCTGATGCTTTTTGCTTAGGGCAAAATTCCCCCTTGAGTGACCAGGTTTGAATAGCTAGATACTTCTAGAAGGTGCCTGTTTAGAATACACTGAGAATTCATTCTCAGAAAATCAGCCCCCTTCAAAAACAACAGTGTCTGGATATTTTTACCACTTCTTTTAATCACCAGCCTGATGGAAGAGGAATACTGCATGGGTGTTCAACCCTTTGGCTTGCCTAGGCTGCACTGAGTGAAGAGGAATTGCCTTGGGCCACATATATGGGCCTCTCCAAACGTAATGCCTCCTATTTATTTTCATGGAAACAACAACAGATACAGTGAGCACAGTAACTGATTGAGAGAGCAAGTTCTCAACCACAAAGCACTACTTTTCAACACAGCCACCACCATTACCTGTGCGTTTTCACCAGTGATGAACAAGAGCCTGAATGCTGTGTTCATCAAAACCTTCACCAGTGGTGGTGACCCATGGTTGCTGTCAGCACTGCTGAAATGCACTGAAACTCACTGTCTCACCGTGCTCACATCCACTGTCTGGTATCCATAAATGTTCAGCAAGCGTCAGTTAATGTCATTGGGTGCAACTTTTTCCACACGAAGGAATTCAGTTCCACACTTACGTTTCATATGCACTTCCACATCAGATGCCATTCTGTCAGACTGCTCCTCTGCTGCCATAAGTCAACTGACAACAAAATGTAATGGAATATTGGTGAGAAGGTCCAACTTCTACTGTCATATCGGCAACATCCGCCTCTGACAAAATGGGCCAACATAAAATAGGAGGCATTGCTTCTGGAGCAGACCTGGCAAACTATATAATATAGTTAATGTACATAAGTAACAAAACTTTTTTAAACTTAATATTTTTAGTAAGACATTTTTAAAAAGAGAGCAACAAACCCATAAAACTAGTGGAATATGTGATCTTGTTTTTCAAACCTCATATTTAGCTTCACATTCTATTTGAGCATAATCTAAACTAGAAGAGAGATTGGGCAAAAAGAATATATATGGACATATTCTTGTCATTTAAAAATCTGGTCTGGAAGCTGAAGAAGGTAACTAACAGATCATCTCAATAAGGAGTGGAAAAAACATACATAATTGAGAGGTAATTAACAATTTGTAATAGCTTACAATTGATCCTTCTAGTACCTCTCTTAAGAGCAAGGGGCTGATTTCTTGTTTATTAATGCAGTTTTTATTATTATTATTATTTAAGCAGGTATTTTCTGTAGAAAAAGGTGAGAGAGGTGACAGTGAAGCAGAACATCAGCTCCAAACTTCTTTGGACTTTGAGAAGCTTGGATTCTGATTCATAGTGGAAAACAGTTGGAGACACAGGTTGTATTGATATATAAGCTGAGGAAGTAAAGCAATTCTATCAACTTGTAGGGGAAGAAAGGTAATGCAAATTCTCTCATACGAGTCTCATTTCAGAGGGCCTGGGTATGGGCATTAGAGTTTCTTGCATAACCCTTAGGAACAAAAAAAAGCCCTCTGTTTTGCTGAGTTGCAGTATTTCTGCCTTTCTTTGTAAGGAAAGAGTGCTTATTTCTCCCCTAGCTTCATGAAATCTATCTGACTCTTGGTAACATGTCTGTGAGAATTTGCTTGGAGGGACTAATGGACAGGGGCACACCCTTCTTTGCTATGTTACTGTTCCATGAGTTCCAGACAAAAGCATTTATTGTGGTTTGGCAGCAACCATCTATTCCTAAAACCCTGGGACTGCATTGTTCTGTGCTTGTCAAAAGTTGATTTAGTACCTACAGGCACAGAGTGCAGGGTTCATCTTTTTAGGAAGGGTCTTCAGGCTTTCCAGACTGCTGGGGTCACCTCTCACAGCCAGTAAGACCACTTGGAGGAGTCACACCATGGTTGACTATGAAGACAAGTCCCTTAGTGAAGCAAAAGATCTGTCTTGCAATAAATATTCAAAGATTTTTATTCTGACCCCAGGTTAAATAGTAATACTCCAGAAACCGAGTAACCAACTGCCAGCCTGTAACAACTCTGCATCATTAGATAAAGACATGGCTTAGGAAAAATATTGTTAAGGCCCCCAAAGTGTTTTGCTGTGTTTGGAAGTCTAATAATGGCAGAGATGTCTGACTGGTACTCCTAATGATACAAGGATCTTGCAATTCTATCTGTAGCTAAGATAATGATCCTGGGACCTACACAAAGCTATGAGGAGGCCCTTCTTCTACTCAGAATGGCAAATCTTTCCTTTCAAAGCAGATCATTAAAAGTTATATCTAATGAAAAATCCATCTGTTTTCCATTGAGTGTACACTTGGCTTTTTTTTTTTTTTTTTTTTTTCTTTTTTTTCCCTAACGTTGCATGAACTTCTGCAGCACACAGTGCTGATACCTTCAAAATGCAGCAAGACAAACCAACTCTTGGGGCAGTTCCTTTATCCATGGAAGCTAAATACTGGATATATCTGGATCTGTTAACTTAAAGCTGAACTTTGGACCTTTAATTTCTCCAGGAACTGTGGAGAGGTGTGCAATTATGGGTAAAGATGTATTAAATCTTAGGTAACACAGATCTGCACAGGTCGGAGTTTGCAACCACACAAGTAGACAGCATATTCTTGTAGCCAGAATAACAACCAAAATTAAATATGAAGGTGGCATCACATGGCAATGAGATCATTAACAACACTTCTGTTGAGATCAGAGATATGTATGCTCTTCTGTTCTCAAATGCATGTTTTGTGGCTGTGGTTGCTCGTTGTCACATCAGCTGCTAAAGTCTAAGATTCAAAAAAAAAAAAAAAAAAAGAAAAGGAAAAAAGAAAGTTGGGACACTCACCCCCAGTCGTCTGTATTTCCTGTTATGGTCCTGAGACTCTGATCTGATTATTCTTTTACACCCAGACACCACTGGGCAATATCCCCCATCCTTCCAGTTAACAAAGATTTGGAAGACCTTTGCTCATGTTCCGAGCTGTTCCTTTTGCCAGTCCCAAAAGGGGCCAGAAAACAGGAAATATCCCTTCCAGTCTTAATCTGCCAGGCACAGGTGATGTTCCTAGGTGAAGGCTGCCCACCATGCGCACCCCTATGGATCTCTGGGACCAGGTGTGGGTTAGAGGAGGCGAGGAATCAATGTGGAAGCTAATGAGTTCAGCCACATTCCGCTCCAGTTATCTTTGGCTGCTGAGGTGTTTTCTTAGGGAACCAGGATGATCATTATTCAGAAATCATTTGGACCTGAAGAATCTGAAGGAGGTCTCTGCAGCCAGTATCTGTGAGAGGCTGTGTCCAGTGTTTAAGAGCGGCTGCTGAGCACCAAAACGTGGTCACTGCACAATGCAGACGCTTGTTCCAGCTGACAACATCTTTTGAAGGAAAAATTTCACTTTAGGAGCTCCAGAATTGGGGTTTAAAATTTCCATTGCTGTTTTTCTTGGGATCATTCAGAGATTCAGCTCAGAATCGAGGGCTTAACCTGCTGCCATCAAATGAAGAAATCTGGCTATTTTGCAAGGGAAGATGAGCGGGGCCTGATCTCTGCCTCTTGTTCTGTTTCCATGTGACAGCTCCTCTTTTACCATAAACAGATGGCATAATGAACACATCACTTTCGTGTCCGATCTAATCACCTTCTTGTTTGATCCACTTCTTCTACCTCTTAAATTACTGTCCTTTTCTATTTTAAATTAATTGTTCATTTACATTAAGCAAAGTAACTTGACAGAAGGTTAAAAAAATAGACACCCAGATCTGTCTTACCTACAGGATGCAAACAAAAAATTGGGTAGATGTCTTTTTTTCCTGGAATAAATTGACCACAGAAATTAGTGGGTTTCTTCCAGTCAAAATTAGGAGATTCTAGAGCAATCTTCCTAATAAAGAAGGTAACTGGGAAGACAGGAGACACAACAAGGGGGAAAGAGTACATTTTTGAATAGCACTATCTGCTTGTGAGAAGGATTGAGAACTTAGCTCTAGAACTCAGCAAGCTAAAAGGTCATATTCCATTCTGTGTTTCCTTTCTTCCTTTCCAAACCAGAAATGGAGATCTCTGATACTAAACGAGCAACCATATGTCCTTTGCCTGCACTTACCCGTGTAAGCATGGAAGTTAAATGTGTGACACCTTTTCCCATGTTCCAACAAGGACCATAAAAAATACAATCTCAGCTGGCCCATAACAAAAATAAACTAAGGATGCTTTAATATGCACTCAACAGGGCAAAAAAACGCATCATACTTTCATACAGCTTTACAAATAAAACATATCCTATGTGACTGGTCACAAGTAGAATAGAATCAAGCAGGTAGTATACAAGGACAAAATACTTTAAGAATGCATTTTTACATTCTGTTTTTGTAAGAAAATGAGACTCTTATCTACATTGGACAGCCCCAAATAACTCCAAAACTTGTTCATAAATCCCAGTCAACTTTGATAGAGGGCGTTGAAGATATTTAATTCCAGCAAATTTTGTGAAAATAGATGGCCAAAAAGACAGATTATTCATCCCTCATTGAAGAAATTGGCTAAACATGAACTCCATCCCCATTAAACATCAGAGAATCCATGCTGAAACACAATCCAAGATACAAATCCATAGGAAAAAAAGACTTCACTGTTTACAGAACTACTTGTATTGAATGAGACTACAGAGAGATAACATCAGTACAACAGAAACTAATCACCACCACTCAACAAACCTTTTGGAAGCAAGTCAGCAAACACATATGCTTCAATAGAACCAGAGCCTCATGTGACAGGAAGCTTATTAGAGACCCTGTCTCTCATTATTTTGTTTTTGCTTATAACTTCCCAGCAAGAATATTCAATATTGCAAAATAAAGTGGTTTCTTTCACAGACCATCCAGAATGAGAAAGAAATTGGGCCAGACATTCCAGATCCTGAAGAAATTGGTGCCTGTGGAGCTATGGATTTCTACCAGCAAAACATCTGGCACAAAATAGCATTAAATATGAATAACTTTCTTCTCTTTCCTCTTACCACTTGTGTGAGGCACGAATAACTTCACTGAAGTCTGTTTGATGTACAAAGCCTGCAAAGAGGAGAAAAGAGAAAAAAATCAGCCCTTTATACATAGCAAGACTCAAAATATTTTATTTCCTCAATAGCATAACCTTGTGAGCTGTTTTTTCTGGTTGCTACATATCAGACAGTTGCTTCATTGTATTATAAACGCAGCTTAGGAATTCCCATTTGATGCTCTATCATGTTTTTGTTCAGAGATCCAAGAGTCAGGTAAATTCTGGGTATCTGCAACATCACTGACCTGAAAATCTGGTGAAATGTGGAGTCAAGGCTTAGGAAGGGTAACAGGAGCTCTGTGTACTCAGCCTTTCTTAGCTTTTCTTTAAACATTTCCTAAGGCAAAAAAATAATTATTGAAGTAAAAAGCGTAAGAGCCCTTCCTCGTGATGCTCAGCAGTGGCTTGTGATTTGGAAGACAGGGGCTGAGGATTTCTTAACTGTGGGCACTTGCATGTGTTGTATGGCATCAATCATACAACGTGACAACAGCTCGCATTTCCCCTTCTCACTCTTCAACACTGCAGGACTTTTTCTCACGTATAAAGCAGGACTGGCAGTGGAATCTGTCAGTGCTGAGCACTGGGATAGCATTCACTCACTCCCCCTGGCAGTGAATGCTGGTCTTGCATGGATGCATCCACACCAGGTCCCTACAGTGGGCAGAGAGGTTTTATACAGACAAAAACTGCCCAGCAGGGTTAAAGTGCACACATACCAGGCAGCACCTTCCCTAAATCTCTGGATGACCACTCCTTTTTCCGCCACCCTGAGGACAGATAAAAAGCCTTTCAGGGGCTTTTTAAGTCAGTGCTGCCATTTCAACCCCACAGATGCCAAAGTGATTTTTATACTCTGCTCAACTAATTGCCAAGCTCCAACAAAGGGAATATAATGGGTTGCACCAGGCAATAAACCATCCTCTACTGGCTCTAGAAACAGGAAAGTAAGAGAGGGAATGCAGAACTGGAACAAGGCACAGACCCAGAGCAGGTCCAAATACTTGCAGGAATTGATTTATCCCAAGATTTGATACCAGATGTTCTATTCATACAACTTTAACAGAGCACCACAAAACATTAAATGCTTCTCATGCTTTCAGCATTCAAACCATGCCATCTGGGCACTTCTGCCACAAGGCATAAAGAAAACTGTGCTTAATATTAATGAAAGAAACAAGTCCCTCTCTGCAAGTCCAATATAAAAAGGGTTAAGAGCAAACACATGCTAAGTTGTTCTTGGGAATCCTGAACACAACAGAGAGGCTGTCTTGGATTATAGCTTTTCTAATTTATGCCAGCCCAAAGTCTGGTTTTAAGGAGGATGTATTAGTGATATGTTACTAAAACATTGTGATAAACCAGAGTACTCTGCATTTGTGATTAATAAAAACATTTTCATAACATATGAAAAACTGTCTGCTTGTTTACCTAGAGCTTCAATAGATAGCATAGCCCTTGTTCCATGAAGAATGCACTTGGACATTTATTTGGGAATCACTTCATTGCAGATATTAATTAAACGGACTTCTGACCATTTTTAGCCTCATAGATTCCTTGTTGTCTTATCAGCCCCTTCTGTCTGGCCTACCAAAATCCTACAGTCCTATGTGATAAAAACTACAGCTCACTGCACTCTTCTGTGCAAAATCTATTCTTTGAATCATTTTTCTTCTTAAAACCCAAGGCTACCACATTTGTGAATCTATACACAAAGCTGCTGAGACTGAGCAGGGACAGCTAAAATCACTTCTCCCTTACTTTCTTAACTGCCAGTGTATCTTTCCAGCCTCTCTTTGCTCTGTTCACTAAGAGAAAGAACTACAACATAAGGATCTGACCCAATTTTCTCTCTCTGCCATAGCACATTCCTTTAATAAATGGAATTTGCTACTATTCTTGTCTAACTCCCATCTAATGTTACCTCCATCTCCTCCTGCTTGTGTTCTTTGCTCCCTAGGTCATCAGCTCTTCTTTAGAAGATGTGACCTTCCAGGTTGTCTCATGTTTTTACAACAGGCTGACAACCTTGCCAGTCTTTCTTCAGAAGTCTCTTTTCCAACTGACTGTAGCCTCTTTTTATTAAGATCCTGACTGGCCCCACCAAGTGTAGCCCAAGCGTGAAATGAGCAGAGATGCCTTTATATCAATGTCATTGAATTTTTCTGTATTTACTCGGATTAAACACTGGATGGTGCTCTTTGCACTTTCATGCCGGCAAAAGCACATTAAAAACAAGCAAACTCCCTGTTCTATTGAGAATTGTCAAAATTCCCCAGGGTCAGATACAGTTAAAGATACATGTCTAAGCCTCAAAATCCAGTGGGAAGAGCATGTTTCAACTACACAGAATATTGCTTAAGCTGCAGTGGAAGAAGCTCAGCTAGGTAAGGACAAATGCCAAAGAAAGTGTCACTGCCTATTACACACAAATCCACCAAGTAGCTGTTTTCACATTCCTCCTCAAATATTTTATTTGCTAATTGGCTCCTTATCAATGTTCTCCATAGCAACAAGAGAGATTTAAGTAGCATAAAGTGGGCTGAGTGACATTAAGTCTGCATGTAAATGTAACTTGGATTTTGCGTGGAGGAAATGATCTGAAGGAGGTTAACGGCATAATGCGAAACCTCCTGTGGTCTCAGAGGAGAAGGGAGCTTCTTAATGCTCTATGAATGGTGCAAGAGTGAGGCAAGACAGCGTATCCTAGCAGCAAACATTTTTGACAGAATCAAACTGAGTTTCTGTAGGAAATGAGTCCATTTAATCTCTTTCACTGCTTTTATAATAGTCTTCAGCTATTTTTCAGCAGAGGTCAGAAGCCTTTTGATATTTTTAAATATGTAATGAATAAGTAAAGGAGAGAAATACATTTTATGGTAAAAAAAAAAAAAAAAGAAAAAAGAAAAAAAAAAAGAAAGAAAGCTGTGGGGGGTAGGAGATACACATCCTTTTTTTTCCTGCTGTGCTGAACTTCTGTGTATTCCTAGGCAAATTATGCTATCTCTCCAGGTCTTAGCTCCCCCACTCTCTAAACCTAAGATGATTCTTTCTCTTCTGGCTGCACTAAAATGCTCTGTCTCCAGTGAGTGCCATAAAAGTACAAATTATTTTGTGTGTTTGCATTTAAGGGTTACAGCTTTGGAAAAGACATCCTGCTAAAATAAAGAGGCAAGTAGAGAAACCATTTTAGCATCTAAGAGAGATCAGGGAAAACAGGGAATAAAAGGATTCATTGCAATGGACTGGCATTGATAAGATACTGTTGGACCAGCTGTGTCCACCTACTGACCTACGTCCTGTATATGTGATTTAAGTTTGTACTGACAAGTATTTGGGTCTCTAGTGGAATGAGCATGGGCAGAGCCTCAGAAAAGGCTCAGGAATCACTGAAGAATCCAGCTTGGAAGGAGGACTCCAGCTACACTTTTGGAGCATACAGAAATCCTACCTGAACCAAACTCTTCAGAAGGGTGGGCTTTTTCAGCTGAAGGATGTGCAAGGATTCAGTTCACCCCTTCAGCTGCATGGTCCGCTGTTTCTTCAAAGACTGTTCAGCCTTCTTGGCTACCATGTTCAAATATCTTCAGAAGATATGTTCTAAAAGGGACATAGTGAGAGTGGTTGGATTAATAAAACCCTCCAAAGCATTGCCATTGGAGTCTTAACACAGAAATCTTTTGGTCACACCATTTAATACAATGCGCATGGGACAATAAATTTTATGGTACTTGTAACATTCCCTCCTTCTCTTGGCAAGTAGAAAATGCAGTCTTTCGAATTTATAGGACATCTGATGTGCTTGTGCCTCAGAAGGAGAAAATGGCATAAATGGCCCAATCCAGAAGATCTGATATTGCTCATCTTATTGGTGTTACTGAACTGGTCTTCTCAAGAATAGGAAGTTGAATGAATGAGATGCCACAGCTAACATTGTTTCTTCTTTTGAAAAATGCAACTACATGTAATACTTGCCAGAGCTGCCATTTTAGTGTTCCCAATTCCAAAATACCCATCTAAAACAGCCTTAAAAAGCAGAACCCCTCATTCATTATTATTTTAGCATTTAAAATAAAAATAGAATCTCTTAAATAGGGAGACAAGCAACAGAGGTCTCTCTGCCCTTGTGCCCACTGCTGTATCATGTTGGGCTTTGCTGGATGAGCACTGATGGGTGTGTGGTGACTGACATGGCCTTTACTTGTACTTGCTCTCACTCATTGAAATACAATAGCAGGGCTGGCAGGAGGGGCTCCATGCGTTCACACTTCAACTACTGCAATGCGAAATCCAGCATCTCTGCTTAAATCACTGATAGAGATAGATCTATCAGATAGAGACAGAGCTCAGGCTGAGCATGGCTAAGCAACAGTTCTCCCTAATGCAAGGGTTGAGCAGGCTACATAGTACTAGAAATTTAAACCACTATGGGAAAGTTGGCTCAACCCTGCTGCATCCTTGCCTGTACATCTGCAGACAGATGCAGATAACATGCTAATATAAATGTTGTGAGTCTGAATGGGTTATGGACCATTCTTAGATCTTTCAACAAAGCAACATCTAAGTACAAAGCAGTGTTGTTTTGGGCCTCTCTGCAACGACAATTCCAATGAAGTATTGCTGAGCAAGGTTACCCACAAGACTATCCTCTTAATGTGTCCTTTATTATGCTCACGTAATGAGTTTCTGATTCCTTAGTTATTTTGCAATAAGAAAAATTGTTTAGTTTCATGGTGCATCCCAGTATTCAATGAATTTGCCCCTTGGGAATCCAGAAAGCTTTTGAATCTTAATATAGACATCTCTCCAATGAGATCATTAATGTTCAGATATCTAGATCTAGAGCCAATGCAAGCACTTCAATTTTTTGCCTGCCAAATTTTCTTTTTTGGCTTCATTTGCTTCCCATATATTCAAAGAACTGCACCACATGGAATCCTTTAAACGATCGATGGGATAACATAATTTTTCAATTGAAAAGGTTTTTAACCACATAAACTATTCTAGGGTTTACTAAGAAGTTACCATTGCAAACAATGTGATTGTTCCAGACTGAATTCCTTGCATTGCAGAACAACTTTTGAAGCAAAGAGCATGACTGGTTTGGGATTTTCAACCAACCTCTTTATGGTAATGCTTAAATGAATGTGAATTTTCTTCAAAAGCTTTGCATTAAAGAGAAAGGATGAAAGTCTGCAAACACTCATATCTGCAGAACTAATGCTTAATGCTAATGACCCATCAATCTCAACAAGAGGAAAATAAATGTTTAAACATTGGGAAACTCTGAACACTTTCTGATTTAAGCTTTTTATTTGCTTTAAAAAATGAGAAAAAACAGTTGACAAATTCTGGCAAACCTGGAAACATATAAAGTACAAGCAATAACTTCTGGTTTCCATCTTCTCTTTTCCTAGAAGGACAAGTCTATTAATTACTTGCCTGTTGAATAAACCAATGGCTTGCTGTTGTGAGCAGCTGAGTCCTTCCGTAGAGAAGTGAGCAGCTTCTTTTTCCTTGGGCTTCACTTGCAAAAAAACACATTTGTTTTTTTCCTGTCATATATTTACTTTCTCCACATCAGGTCTTCCCTGTTGTGTTAGTCTTCTTGTGCTTTGCCCAATAAACGAGATCATTACCAAAATCTTCACTAAGGCCTACTGATAGTCACCTGGGATACATGAGCAGTTGCTCCCAAGTTAGTTCTTCTAGTTGCTCAGTCTTCTGGTCCTCAGTTCTGCCACTGTATCCACTAACTGTGCTGGTCTGGTAACCCACTAGGCAGCTTCCCAAATCTACCTTGTTAATCAGCTTTCTTGGATGGATTGAATTAAACAGTGGGTGGTTTATGAGATGAATTACATTATGAAGCAGGGTCTGTAATTTGCTGCTGCATACTCCTACCATACAAGGCACAATGGAATCAAAATAATTTGTGGCCAGCAGGCCGCTAAAGCAATATAAATGGGAAACAGCACACTTCAGAGGAACTTTCTGATATCCGTTTTGATTCTCTTCTATAGACCAGGTTCTCATTTGCCACACATCAGTCTGTTCCCACTGAATTCACATCAGATGTAGACTCAGCCTTGCAGGTCCAGAACTTCAGTTTATCTTTTAAAAGAATGCATTTTTTGTAGATTCAGCTTAGTTATAGTACGAAACAGTGGTGTCTTGTACCATATGAAAGTAAAGGAACTAGCCCTATATTTTATTAGCCTCGCTTCCTGGGAAAAGAAAGCTGTTAGAATCATATTCTTCATTGGTCTGACCCACAGAGCAACGAAGCCCCAGTCCTCTGATCATGCACATGAAAGGACTTGCTGTGACATCCCTCTAAGCTGTGTACTTTGCTGCAAGTGGAGGTAAAACACGTGGAATTGTATCTTGTCCTGACATGGAACTGGGATAAAGCCAGAGTAAACTCAACCAGATCTGTGATCTGGGAGTAGTTATACAGATAAAAGCAAAGATCATTACACTCTCCAAAAATACATGCCTCAGCTGAGGTTAAAGTGCACCAATGAAAGCCACACAAAGAGAGATTTCTGCGCACTCAAAAAAGTAGGAAAAGTTTCATTTGGAACTTGAGCGTTTACAGGCACTGAAGTCAGTCAACCACAAAACAGGGATCTGTTAGGAAAATATTTAATTAGCTCTTCTGCTACTTATTCATTTTATTTCCTTCAAAGAAAAAAAAAAAGGAAAAAGAAAAAAAAAATCTCTCTTAGATATGTCATGCAAATTATTTCACTACACCCTTCTCAAACAATCTCAGTACCCCTGAGTTTACTCCTGGTCTCCAGACAACCATGGACTGTACAAACTTACTGCTTGTCACTGGATGTTACTGTTTAAACAAAAGCTGCACACTTACCTTTCTCAGCAAGTCTGTGAGATTAAATTTCAGGCAAAGTGCAAGGTGACAGCCCCTCTGCATCTGCTACTAATGGAGCACACACTCTTCATCTTCTCCTCTAACTTCTGTCTACTGCTTGTGGTACTTACACTGACAATGTCCATGTTGGACTGTTAGATCAAATATACCTGATAAAAATGTATGGAAATGTAGGAGTTTTATTACTGCTGGAGAAAATTATTCTCCTGAATAAATAAGTCTATCCACCTGCAGCTCTCTAGAGCTAAGCCATGTCTCACTGATTCATTAACACTGCACCTGTCTAACATTTACAGCATGGCAACTGGCATTCAGCCTTTTGGTTTCTGCTGGTATTGCCACTGCAACAGACCTGTTTCCGTGACTGCTGTTAAACTTTGCTTATCACTTTTCGTGTTTAGCTAAGTATGTTGGAAGATCAGGACTATAAAAACTACAAGCGTTTAGAATTAAATGGGACGCTGGGGAGGCATAGAGGAAGTTACCCAATTGTTCCACATCACAAGAAATTGTGAATAGCTACTCCATAAACCTTTGCATCTGTCAAGTCCACTTGCTACCCAGAAAAAGAAAAAAATATTAAACCATACCAATGAAGTTAATACTACTTTAGGGGGTCTAATCCTGGACCAATTAATGTGAGTGGGAGTTTTGCCTTGACATGAACAAGATGAAAGCAGCTGTTAATATGGGTGGTTTGGGGTACTCATTTGAACATACACAAGGATGGAATTTCCAAACCTCATTTCCCACAGGTAGGACTAGATTTTCAAAAGGATTTATTGTGTCCAATGCTTAATATTCAGCTACTTCTAAAAGAGCCTAGGAAGCAGCTACGAAATTTTGAAATAGACAGGTGGTAGTGATGAGATGCTTGAAAGACTGTGTTTCTAAGCCAGCAATTCTGACTGTTCAGCAATCCCAAGGTCTCCAACACCCTTGAAAAGAAAACTGATAGCTTGCATTGTGAATAGAGGTAAGTAAGTTTTCACCTAAGGACCACTTTTTACAACAGCAAAGACGGAGACTACTTACTTCAAATTGGGTTAAAATGGGTAACATGATCAAAATGGGCAAAACATAGAGGAATAGTTTTCAAAGGCTCCTCCTCTATCTTAAGATTGTTCTGACTGAACAACAATTTAATTTGAAATGCAGAATTCTATGTCTTGCCACAGTTTGATAGCAAGGCCTAAAGAAATGCGGTCACAAGTGAGGGGTCAGTACAAAGTCCTGTGAGACTCAGTTTAAAAATGATTGCTTTTAGATTTGCTCTCCACAACTCCCTGAAAGGAGGTTATAGCATGGTGGGGAATGGCTTTTCCTCCCAGGTAAACAGCAAAAAGACAAAAAGGCTTCACATTGCACCAGGGAAGGTTCAGATTGGATACTGGAAAAAAGTTCTTGCCATAAAGAGTAGTGATGCAGTGGCACAGCTGTACGGGAAGGTGCTGGGGTCACTGTCCTTGGAGGTGTTCAAGAAACATGGAGAGGTGGCAGTGAGGGATGTGGTTTAGTGGGCAGTATTGGTGGCAGGTAGATGGTCAGACTAGATGGTCTCAGAGGTCTTTTCTAACCTTAATGATTCTGTGATTCCAAGCCAACCAGGAGAGGAGGATCCAGCCCGTGACAGGATTTGGTATCACAACATGCATTCCAATGTTGTTCTCAGTGATTTTATAGCCTCTAAACACTGTACACCTCCTTTGGTATTAAAAAGTAGAGCCAAGGCGTATTTACCTGCTGAGGTGGAAGGACCGACAGCCTCCTCCGTCAGCATGGGGCTCCTGGTGAGCAGGAGGTCCTTCAAGACGCCAAGCTGCTTCGCTATAGCGGCCGTCCTGACTCCGGCGAAGCCGCCCAGCGCAGCTCACATCCCTCCCCACACAGCACGGCCCACCCGGCCCCCGCTCCCGTGCTCTTACCGTGGGCGCCTGCGCGGCGCTCCTCCTCCTCCCGCCGCCGGCGGCCGCTGTCAGGATGAGGCGGAGGAGGCGGAGGCCCGGGCCGGCAGCTCCCGTCTCTCGCCGGGGCCCCCTGGCGTAGCGGTTCCCGCTCCGACGCCGCGGCTGGAGGCGGAGGAGGCCGCGGCGGCGCCGCCCGCCGGAACCATGGCCCAGCCGGGCCCCAGCGCCCCGACGGACGGTAATGGGGAAGCGGCCTCGCCGCGTCGAGCCGAGCGGCCTGCCCGAACGGCGCCGGCTGGGGACGGTGAGCGCGGCCCTACCGGGCCGCGGGGATCGGAGCGGGGCGGGCGGCGCGGGGAGCGCACGGAGAGGCCCGAGCGGCCCGGCCGGGCGTGAGGGGAGGGCGGCAGGGAGAGGCGGCCGGGGAAGGCCCCGAGAAGGCGAGGAGGACACGGCAGCCGGCTGATCTGGGTTTATTGTGGAGCGAGGGCGGCTCCCGAGCGTGCACGAGGAGGGAGGGCGGCCGTGGAGAGGACGCCGCTCGCTAGGGAAGGGGATCTGCGGTGCTGGGGGAGGAGGGAGGTGCGGGCACAGTGCACGGCCGGCTCATCCCAGTGGTGCTGGGGGCTCTCGGGCTTGGGTCAGGAGCTCTGCGTGGACGGTGAGTTCGTGAGGTGCAAAACACAAAGGCAGTGACAGCTGTTCTTACCTGTGTAGGAGGGAGATAAGCTCTGCGTGAAGGTTCCTGTCATGGAAAGGGTATTGCTTTCTTTTTCGTGAGGAATTACAGACGAGGAAATAATTCATTTTTTTCCCTGTGGAATAGATCACAGGACTGTCTGCGTGTCAGAAAAGCTGCCATTAGTGCTTTATTTGGAAGATGGGCTTGAAGGAACGATGCTAAGGACAGTGTTTAATGAGATGTGTGGAAAAAGGATGAGAGAGCAAGAAATCTTAAGTCGAAACTGATCAGAACGTGGAAACAGGAGGCCTGGGGCCAGATGTGCAGAACCTTGAAGGATTGGTGCTTACCCTGGCGTGGCACTGTGACAGGGGACTCTTTTTTTAGACAGCAGATGAGTTTCCCTGGGAAAGTACTCTGAGAAAAGGGGAGTGATGTATCCTTAATTATGCGTATCTAGGAAATTGTGCGGGCTTTCTGTTGTTGTTGTTGCATTTACACAGGAAAGTGCTTATTCTCGGGGACTGCGGTCTATCTTGTCAAAGTGTTTATGATGAAGGAGCATAGAGTTATTTATTTTTTTTTCCCCTCTGTTAAGGTCAATGACTGCATGCTCATCTTTTGAGAGCGCTGAAGGGAAGGTGAATTTACTTGCTGCCATGACTGTAAGGTTACCCTTGGTGTGGGTTGCTGTGTACCTTCTGGTGAATAACCATTGTTTATTGTTCTTTAGCCTTTTCTTGAGAGTGCGCTACAGAACAGCTTGCAACAAATTTTCTTCTTGGCTCTTGCAGAGAATTTGACTGCAGGTGTGTTGTGGAACCGTGCAAGCATTTGCTGCTTGACCGGGAAAGGTAGCTGTATGTGAGTTGCTATTAGAAGTTACAAGTTGGGTAGATTTTTGTCACTGTTTAAAAAGAAGACAAAAGATGCGGGTAACATTAAGTAATTTCATAGGTTGATGAAGTCTGTCTGGTAAGAGGTGTGAATTGCTGTCTTTCTCGTGCTTTTTTCTACAAGAAGGTGAGGATGCTGTGTAAGTAAGACCCATGGTAGGGGGGAATGTGGCTGAAAGTTGGATGGATTCTGAAAAATGCTTGCTGTGTTCTTGCACTGAAGAGTTGAGAGCTTCTAAAATGGCTCCTTTCCCTTTTGGCAGTAATAGGATCTGTTTGTTTTGTGTTTTTCTTTTCATCAACTTTGATCAATATACTATTGTGCTCAAGACTGTTGGATTTATTTTTAAGGAACTTGTCAACAACTATGCCTTGAAACTTCTCTGTTGTATTTTAATATATAGAAAGTGTTGAAGAAGTGACTTATTCAATGTTCTTGGCTGTCTGCACTGAATTTATTGCTTAAGGGAATAATGTAATCTCTGATTTAAGATCACGTGTGACAAAATAGTGCTGGATTAGTATATTCCTCCAAGGAAATAATCACAGCTTTGTTACAGTTACTTATGTTGATTATAAGTACCATATACATTCTTCACCTGTACAAGATGCTGCCTATGCTTTGGGGGTTTCTTTGATCCTGAAAACATGTATAAAAGACTCTAGTAGAGAAAAAAATGGAACGATGTGAGAGGAATTATATATAGGATATATATTCCATTCTACTGCTTCACTGTGTTATTCCTTCCCCTCTTCTAATATAAATATGGGCATTAGAATAGATGTTAGGTCCTACGCTGTTTTTGTACTTTGGCTTAGTATAGAAGTTAATAACCCTCTGATTCTTTTGTGTGGGGTAATAGAGCTTCCATATGATAACAATCGCAGAGAGGCTGAGAGCAGAGTCCTCTGGCTGCTCATGTGGCTTTGTGCACTGTGCTGTTAACTCTTGGCTGATTATGTCAACCTGGGTTGCAAGTGGACGTGTGCTTATTGATCCTGGTCACCGTGGCTTTTGGGAGGTTTTTCATTAATGCGTGTCATCTGGGTTGTGTGACTGGCATAGTAATGCCTAATTTAAAAATACATGTTTTCATTTTGAAGATAACATGGCTCTCACCTTCCTTGGGCTTAATTCAGAGCTGGGTGCTTGCCATCTCCAAAAATACAAAATGTTTTGACATAATTTTTCCCTGTCAGAATGCTTAGGCTTCAGCATCATTCTCCTGCTTGCATCTGGAAAATGCTTCAATGAGGAAACTATTGTTACATCAAACACTACTTCTTCAGGGCTTAAAATAATAATAATGGCATGCAAATTATTTGCAAATTGAAATCTGACTGTATTAGTAAACTTAAACCATTGGTACGCTCCAACTGATAAATAGCACAACCATTGATATCAGCCTGTAAAGGAAACTGTCTCGTTGGCGCAGTCTGTCGTATTACAAGGAAAATTACCAGCCAAGAGTACAATATTGGAGTAAGTCTCTCTTACGCTGTGCTTGGGCCAGCAAAAATACTGTGTCTCTTTGTGGTCAGAGCTTATGCCAACTCTCAGTGGAGAAGACTGCTCATATAGGGGCTGGAGGATGCTGTCATATTGAATTTAGTACCACCAGCAGCACCATGGGGTGCACTGTTGCCCTGTGCAAGTCACGTGGGATTCTAACAAGAGCAGCGATCTTTCTGTTGTATTTCTCACGTATCTCAGAGTTTGGGCATGGCTACTGGAGGAGTCTGGTACGTCATGTGGAAAATTAAGTAACCATCTTTAACGTTCTGCATCTTCCACTGCTACATTTCTAGTTATTTTCCCTACAAATGTCACTCAAGTAAAATTGAAATATCTGAAAATGCTATTACTCATCTCAAAAGGTAGGTGTGGCTGGTAAGGGACTGGTTTCAAGCACTGAAGTTCAGCTCTGTGTTGTTGATGTAACTGTCAAATATTAAGCTCTTTTCTCTTGAGTAATAACAATGAAATTGCTGGTACTTTCCAAGAGCCAAAAATGTCTTCCGTTTTATTTTTCTTGCTTTTAATTTAGTACATTATTAGTGACTAATATTATTAAACAAGTACGTTTAACTAAAAAAAAAACCCCACAAATTAATGCATCTCTTTTTAAGTTGTATTTTTTTCAGTATTTGTTCAGTGGTCACATCTGGAATTTGGCTTCAAAAGTGAAGCAGACACCTTGAGCGTACAGATTTCCACCAAGTAGAATTTCAGAGGAAGTGCTGGTCAGCTCAGCAGGTCGGTGTGCTCAGCAGCGGAAATACGCACATTTGGGGTGCCTGTTTCACTTCTGGAGCCAAGTCCCAAATCTCTCTCTTAATTTTGAAAAACGCACTGGGTCTGTTAGTTAAAATTAGCTGCTGACTTGCCTGAAGGCACAAAGAGTATGCTTTAACACATGGGCCATCTCTCTTACATTTTGAAGGCTGGGAAATATAAATTCTTTGCCCGTTTTATAGTTTCTTGGCTAGTTCACCATCATCACAGACAAGATGGCCTTAGTAAATGTTTTCTTTCCTTTCTGGCCTGATGCCTCAAGATGCTTTCCCATAGCCCGCTGTGGGTGGAACACATTCCCACTGTGGAACTAGACTGTGTGCTCCCTTGAAAATGGTCGAGGAAGGAATTTTATTTTAAAACTTTTAAGAAGCTAAAACAAATAATGTCTCACAGTGTTGGGAAGGGACCAAATCCCATTGGCTCCGTAGCGGGTGATGCTGAATGGCTTCCTGGGTTTTCACTCCAGGCGCTTTATTAAAAAACATGCCTAAGATGTGAAGTTTTCTGTATTATATTTAGGTGAGGATTTTTGTTTAAATGAAAGTTTGTCTTTAAAACGAAACACATGGAATTATGGCTTTACTCCAACTGAAGTCTTGTAAGATAAGCACTGATAACGTTGATAAGCAGCACTTACTAAGCAGACTTCTAAGCAGTACCTGACACCGAGCTGGAGGGGGTGGGAAAAATGCAAGACAATAGCAAGCAGTAAATGCCATCTTGTGTGTTTTTAGGAGGAACGTCTTCCACTCCAGAGGTCTTGTGGTTCATAGGCTTTACTTGCAGGCTTGTTTTCTGAACCTGGGATAGTGGTGTCTGAGTTAATGGTACCAGTCTCTGCAAGTTACTCTATAAATAGTGTAAGTATTGTGTAATTTTAGTCATGGTATAGTCAGTTAAGCATGATAGTGAATTATCTCTGGAAAAATGTAAATCATTTGATATCTTCATATAAATTGACATAAGGAACACGTGAGTAGTGCAATCTTAGTCTGTATCTTTCAGAAGGAAGAGAATTGCTCTTTGGTACTTCACTTGAGGAAAAAGTCTGGGTTGTCGTGACTTTATCAGTGGTGCATATAGTGCCTTAAAATTGCAGAATTGCAGCACGTCTGTTAATATAAT